GAACAGAGGCTTCCAATTAAGGGATCATTGGTGACTACATAAGAGTATTTGAGGGACCCCTGCGTGGCTCAATTGGTTGAGCATGCAACTCTTGGTTTCGGCTCAGGTCATGATCTCGGGGTCGTGAGATTGAGCCCCACACCGGGCTCCGCCCTCAGCCGAGAGTCTGCTTGAGATTTTCTTTCCTGCTTCCTCTCCCTCCACCCCTCCCCTGCTCATGCATGCTTGTGCACATGCTCGTGTGCTCTCTCTCTCTCTCTCTCTCAAATAAATAAATCTTTAAAAAAAAAAAAAGTTGAAGTACTCAGTGTGAACGGGGAGTTGGAAATGGAAAGTGCAGACAGAAACAACTGGTCCAGATGAGGGGGAGCTGGCTACACGTTGTGGAGGTTTGGCTTCGAACAGGGAGAGGGTCTCCTCTTTCTACAATAAGGCTATGTGTGAATCTGGTGGAAGGACATCCAGGAGGGTTGCTCCTGGGGACCTCTGTTTTCTCGGTAGCACCCTCAGTAATACCTGCACAGAGTAATGAGGTTCATATGGCAGGAAGGGTCTGACTCAAGCTGTGTGAGTTGAGAAGAATCTTAGAATAGAAAAGCAGCTGAGCAGAGATTTCCCAGAACATTGGAGGGGGGGGGGAGGGCTTGATAAGATTAAAAATCTTGAGTTTGTGTGGTACACGCTTCTCAATAGTGTGCTCCTTACATCTCTGAGGTATCCCAAGTCCTTTCAGGGTGTCCATAGGGTTAAAACTATTTTCATAGTAACACGAAGGTGTTCTCACACTCTCTCTGTGCTGCCATCTACACTTCGGTGCAGAAGCAGTGGTGAGCAAGACTTGTCGACACCTCGACCCAGGACAAGGCAGTGGCTGTGCCATGCCCTCACAGCTAAAAACCGGTGCCAACTGCACGTAAGCATGTCCCTGACAGAGCAGTAAAAAGTACTTGCTTTATTACATCCCACCCTGCTTACATTGTCTTGTGCACATTGTGTGTAACAAAATGAGAACATAGACACATAAAGCATGTCTGCCACATACTGAATGCAATGGTTTTTCTCAGAGAAAAGTGCTTGTACAGTTTGAACTGTGGCTGAATTAACTGCTTTTTAAGATCAATCATCAAGGGGCGCCTGGGTGGCTCAGATGGTTAAGCGTCTGCCTTCGGCTCAGGTCCTGATCCCAGGGTCCTGGGATCCAGCCCCGCGTCGGGCTCCTGGCTCAGCAGGGAGCCTGCTTCTCCCTCTCCCCCTGCCTCTCCCCCGCTCATGCTCTCTCTTTCTCTCTCTGTATCTCTGTGTCTCAAATAAATAAAATCTTAAAAAAAAAAAATCATCAGTAGGTTTTAAGAGCAGGGTTCTAAGACTGGGAAGTTTGAGAAGCATTGTTGCAGTGGCACAGTTTGAACAGCCAGGTCTTTTTCTCTGGCCCTACTCAGAAATTCAGGCCACGGATGGGAGTGACAGGTTGCAACTTTGATCTTGGATGAGACTTGTGCTGGATAGGTAAGATGGACCTGCAGTGGTGCTGTAGAGAGCCAATCATATGACTCACCCAGGTCTGGGCTGAGATGGGAAAGAAAAAAGGCTGATGTAACAGAAGGGCAGGGTCATGTTGCCGTGTACCCACTGAAGTTAAAGAGAAGGTGTGGGTTCAAGGAGGCTACAAAGGAGAGTCAGGGATTGTGGTCAGATGTAATCCCAGCCTTGAAGGGACTTCCAGTTTTTAGGGGAAATAAAACCTGTATCAGAGGAAGCATACGCACAGGCAGAGTGATTCATGCCATCTGAGCAGTGCCAGTGGATTGCTGTGTGGTGTGGGAGGAGGGAGGCCAGGCACTCTTGACTGTGGGATCAGTACCTGCCAGTGGCTTCCCGTTTCTGTCCTTCTCCCCCTCTGTAGCTGTGAGTAATGCAGAAATAGCGCTAGCAATAAAAGGGAGTTGGAGATCCAGTTATTTTTCAGGTGGCAAAATAACCTATCTTCCTTTGTGATTTTTGCCAGTAAGTTTAAGGGCCTAGAATTTAACTTGAAGGAACTAAAAGGTCTATTTTAGAGCTGCTTAAGCTGCCAAATACCAGCTGCCTTGAAGTGTTTCCCTACTTAGTACCAATAAGATTTGGAGGGGAAAAGTATCCCCCAGTGGCTGAGAACTAATGCTGTTAGAATCTGACTGTGGCCAGACCCTTCTGGATTTTTCCTGACAGACGGTGTCTAATTGGGCAAAAGGCCAAATGGCTTCTAATCTCTCAAAGTTCTTGGGGAGGGGTGCTTGGGTGGCTCAGTTGGTTAAGAGCCCAATTCTTGGTTTTGGCTCAGGTCATGATCTCAGGGTCATAAGATTGAGTCCCACATCCGTCTCTGCACTCAGTGTGGAGTCTGCTTGGGATTCTCTCCTACCCCTCTGTGCCCCTGCACACACATGCTCACACTCTCTCAAATTAATAAATAAATGAAATCTAAAAAAAAAGTTTTTGGGGAATGTCTATGATGAGTTCTTTTGTGGTGAGAGGGATGGTGTGGGGGGAGCAGTCCGTGGTTGGGAACAGTAGATAGGTTAAGTTTATTATCTGGGTTACAGATAGTAGGACTGTAATGCCCAGCAAGTGGTTATGTCATATGTTCACACATCTGCCAGGGGTTCTGTGGGACTTGCATTGGGGCCAGAGGCACCTGAGTTATTGACCATTGTGCTACACTATCCTGACTTTTGAGAGAGCTGCCTCTGAAAGCCTGTTCGTGGGCCCCTGAGACCCCGTGTCATGGCTGCAAGGATGAATACCTCTCCTGTCCAGACAGTGCTTTAGTCAACACTCTAGATTCCTAAAGCCTCCTCTGCTCCAGAAAGTTCTCTAGCCCATAAAGCAAAATGTCACTGTTCCCCAATTTCCTATAGTACACTCATGTGTATTGAAAAGATTATAGAGGCAAAAATAGAAAATGGACTATTTGTAGAAGTACACTATGTAAAAAACTTTTTTACAGTTTGTGGACATGAGAAAAGTTCCGTGTTGCGTGGAATTTCTCAGGTGTCCAGCATGTGGTTTACCATATTTATCATCTCCCAGTTGTCTTGAAGATTAAGGGTGGGTGACATGCAACAAGGGAAGTCACAGTAGGAGCCAGAGCTGAGTATGCACACACAGGCACGCACACACACACGTGCACGTGCACACATATCCTCTCATGCCTGTGCTTTCAGTCACCTGAGGCAGTAAGGTGCTGCCTCTGCGTGCTCTCCCGGGGACTACCTGGCACACGAGCAGTCAGGCACTTTGGATTCAGACTGTGTACTGGCCTGCTGCTCTCCAGAGTTGAACAGTTTTTAGTGAATAAATGATTAAAATGATTTTCCTTTACCATTCTACTCTCAGGACTAAGTGATATGTGCTGATTTGCAGGTGGATGAGGTCGATGATCTAATAAGTTATCACTGTAAGAAATAAGGCTTCGTTGAGATGGCAGTGTTTTCATTTTTGGTTTTGTATATTTTATTGATCATTTATTTTTTGTTTATTTTATTGATATGTTCTCTAAAAAGTGTTCTTTATATCGCCTAGTAGTTTTTCAGACTTGGAATACATTCTCAGACTTGTTCCTTGGAGTCCTTAGATTTTTCAGGGGTGCCTCAGAGCTGTGAGCTAGGAATTAAGAGAGCTGGGTAGCTCCTTACTTACTCCCTGTCAAGAGCCTTCATTTTGAGGAAAGGACCTGCTACCTAAATTGGAAACCACTGTTCTAAGCATCATTAAATAAAAGCACGCATTTTTTTTTTAAGGGCAATAATGTCTTTTCTAGCATGTATTCTTTCTCATTGAAACCTGCTCTTGAGGGGCGCCTGGGTGGCTCAGTCGTTAAGCGTCTGCCTTCGGCTCAGGTCATGATCCCAGGGTCCTGGGATCGAGCCCCACATCGGGCTCCCTGCTCAGTGGGAAGCCTGCTTCTCCCTCTCCCACTCCCGCTGCCTGTGTTCCCTCTCTCACTGTCTCTCTCTCTCAAATAAATGAATAAAAAATCTTAAAAAAAAAAAAAAAAAAAAAGAAACCTCCTCCTGATACTAAATACAGGAACTGTTCAGTCACATTTCCCTTAACCCATGTTCTAGCCACTGTCACCCATGACCTTTGGCTTTCCTCATGGCTCGAAGTAGTGCCTGGACAATAGCTATGGAGGCCACTAGGGTAAGCTATTCATTAGCTGTCTCTCCCTCTTGGTCCTTTTGATCCCACACTTGCTTCTATTCCTCCACTCTCTACATAGAAGAAATGTTCAGCTGCTGACTACTGACCAGATCGAGAGAATACTTTGGGGGCGCCTGGCTGGCTCAGTTGGAAGTGCATGTGACTCTTGACCTAGGAGTCATGGGTTCAAGCCCCATGTTGGGTGTAGAGATTAGAGATTACATACATACATACATACATAAACAAACAAATAAGAAAGAGAATGAGAGAAAGAGAATACTTTGTTTTGGGCTTTGGAGAAAGATGTCAAGCTGCAGAGTGGGCCAGGGGGCCTGTGCTTCACACATGGATCTCAGCCAGGACCTGGAAACCACATAGGAGGACAAGTGACCATTGTCTTCTGTGACCTTGGAGGCCTACTCTGTGTGTTGAAAGATAAATTGGCCATTGCAGAGAGGGCTTTGGAGTTAACTTAAGAGAAATACATATATAACACTTTTCCTTCAGATGCCTGCAAAGCAGAATAGTGATTTAGGAAAAGTCCAGGTTTTGTAAGCAGAGTTGGATTTGAACCTTGGTCTTCCACTTTCAGCCTTTAGCTGATCACTTACCTTTCTGAGCCTGGGTCTGCGATTGTCAGATGGTCATAGTCTCAAGAAGCTCAGAGGGATAATAGGCACCCAGTGTGCGGGTTCTTCTCGCCATGGCGATGCTTAGTTCCATTGTTTGTGGGTCAAGTTTACTTAAGCAGGAAATGGAAAGTAATTCAGTAAATGTTCCTTTGGCTTCTCACCACTGCAAAACCTTTCTCTTTGTAGCTCTGGATTTACTGGACAAAATGTTGACATTCAACCCTCACAAGAGGATTGAAGTAGAACAGGCTCTGGCCCATCCGTATCTGGAGCAGTATTATGACCCAAGCGATGAGGTAAGACCCATACTCCTGGCTGCTTCTTCAGGAATATCTATCAGTCAGCATCAGGCCCAGCCAGGAAGGGCCCAGATGTCATGCTTAGATCGATCCTGAGAGGTATATGGTGCCACACCTGGTCCTCTCAGTAGCCCACATCATCTGCCTTGAGGACTAGTGCTGCCAGCACAGCTTGAAACCTCTCCCCACCCCAACCCCCAAGCCCCTTCTATCTTAGAAAGCTTCCTCCAGGCCACCTGCAGCAGGGGTGGGCCTGCGGAAATGAATGAATAAAGGGGAGCATAGATAAACAAGGGGTCCAAGGCTAGAGACCATTGTCATGGTTTGTGGCAGAAAGAGGTGCCTAAATCAGAGTGCCTGCCTGAGGGTGGAAAGGAGGCCAACTGCCTGCTTGGGGAGGGGCATTGCAAAGCAGAGGCGGGGGGCAGCTTGGACAGTTCCCACTGTGGCTTCATGACTTCGTGTCTGGTGTGCCTCCTTGGGGATGGGGACACAAGAGCCTTTTGTGGTGAGAAATGAGTCCAGAGATGGATGTGGCAGGCCTCTGGAGCATGCTGGACAGCCAGGTAAAGATACTGTGTGTCATGTTCTCTCTAGGAAAGTCCCAGTTCCCTGGCCTCTTCGAGTCTTCTGGGGCTTTATTCTCTGGATGGTAATGAAGAAAAATGCAATATAAACCAAAGTTTGGATCTTTCTAGTTGAGGCTTATGTATAGACAGCAAGCCTTCACACTCTGGTTTTAAAAGGGGGGAGAACCAAGTGGAGCATGTTAAAGGGGAAAATGGAAGATGATAAAGAGAAGAAATCAAAAAGAGGAAGTATTTCGGGCGCCTGGGTGGCTCAGTTGGTTAAGCGACTGCCTTCGGCTCAGGTCATGATCCTGGAGTCCCGGGATCGAGTCCCGCGTTGGGCTTCCTGCTCGGCAGGGAGTCTGCTTCGTCCTCTGATCCTATCCCCTCTCAGGTGTTCTCTCTCTCTCATTCTCTCTTTCTCAAATAAATAAATAAAATCTTTAAAAAAAAAAAAAAAGAAGTATTTCCTAATCAGTCCCCTTCCATCTCTGTCTCCTTCCCTCAGAAATAATGGGGGCAGCTTGCAGATACCTACAACATAGTAAATAACAGGAAAGGAGAGGAGAGTGTAAGGTTTGGGGCTCTGACTAGACCTGTGAGCCCCCTATGTCCTAATCGCAAGCCTAGGTGGTACCCCAAACCCAGTTAGGAGGTTGGGAAGACCAGAAGGATGGCATATGTAGGACACCAGTGTGACCCCACACATGGAGCTGCCCTTCAAAGAGGGCTAGCTCCTTGTTTTTCTCTCATGGACATGAATCTTTTTCCCCCTTTCAAGAAACCAGTGCTTAGCACAGAGTTTGGTGTCTTATGTTTCCTTACCCTAAAGGCCTGGTTGTGAGGATTACATGGATAAAATCTAGGAGTGCCTGGTAACTACTAGGCATCCACTGATTAACAGCTGGAATCCTCATCAGATTAGTTCTAGAACATTGTGTTAGTTTGGGGGTACTTAAAAATCAAAATATAAATAATATCAATTGACTGATTTCCTTTTTCATCATTATATATATGGGAATTCCTTGACAGAGACATTTTAAATATGTACTTTTTTTTTTTTTTTAAGATTTTATTTATTTATTTGAGACAGAGAGAATAAGAGAGACAGAGAGCACATGAGAGGGGGGAGGGTCAGAGGGAGAAGCAGGCTCCCTGCTGAGCAGGGAGCCCGATGCGGGACTCGATCCCGGGACTCCAGGATCATGACCTGAGCCGAAGGCAGTCGCTTAACCAACTGAGCCACCCAGGCGCCCTGTACTATTTTTTTTTAAGATTTATTTATTTGAGAAAGAGAGAGAGCAAGCACATGAGCGAGGGGGAGGAGCAGACTCCACACTGAGCCAGGGAGCCTGATGTTGGGCTCGATCCCAGGACCCTGAGATCACAACCTGAGCCAAATGCAGACACTTAACCGACTGAGCCACCCAGGTGCCCCTTAAATATGTACTTAAATAGCCTTCTGATTAGTTATAGAGTGTGCTGAAAAACAAAAATGAAAACTTGCAGAAAACTATGACACAGATCACTTTGTAGTCTTGTTACACAGATATTAAGATTATGGAGTATTTTCTTTTTTTTTTTTTTTTTAAGATTTTATTTATTTGAGAGAGAGAGAGCATGAGAGGGGGGAGGGTCAGAGGGAGAAGCAGACTCCCTGCTGAGCAGGGAGCCCAATGCGGGACTCGATCCCGGGACTCCAGGATCATCACCTGAGCTGAAGGCAGTCGCTTAACCAACTGAGCCACCCAGGCGCCCCTGGAGTATTTTCTTCTTGGTTTTATATTTCTATATCTAAATTTTTTTTAAAAAATAGGATTCATTTTGGGGCGCCTGGGTGGCTCAGTTGGTTAAGCGGCTGCCTGCGGCTCAGGTCATAATCCCAGGGTCCTGGGATTGAGCCCCGCATCAGGCTCCTTGCTCAGCGGAGAGCCTGCCTCTCCCTCTCCCTCTCCCTGCCTGCCGTTCCCCCCTGCTTGTGCTCTCTCTCTCTCACTCTCTCTCTGTGTCAAATAAATAAAATCTTAAAAAAAAAAAATAAGATTCATTTTGTTTAACCCAAACATGCACATTTCCCCATATTAATCTTCCTTACAGCTTCATTTTTTTAATGGCTCCATAATATTTTTTCATATGAAGATACTGTAATGTATTTAATCAAGTACATTGATTTGAGTATCATGGCTTTTGATTGTATAAACGTATCACCACCACCCCAACAGCAAATTTCTGTTACCTCAACACTTAGTGCCTTAAAAATTTGAAAATAATTTTGGGATTAGTGATAAATTCAGAAGAATGCTCAAAATGGATTTAGTTGTTCCCCATTCATTTACTACATGTTCATACAAAGTGCGCCTTTTGGAGCGCATAGATGGGACATGGGTGCATAGATACTTTATCAGAGCTCTTGGTTTCCGTAGATGTCAGTGCTGCTGTATACCTTTCAGAGTCTAAGCTACAGACATTATGAATCAGTACATGACTACCTCAGCCATAACCACTCTTGTCTGTTCCATGTTCTGTGTTCTCCTATAGCCCATCGCTGAGGCGCCGTTCAAGTTTGACATGGAGCTGGATGACCTGCCCAAGGAAAAGCTCAAAGAGCTCATCTTCGAAGAGACAGCTAGATTCCAGCCAGGATACAGATCTTAAATTTGTCAGGTACCTAGAGCTTTAGCGACACGATAAACCCTGGTGAGGGAGAGAGAATATAAATTAAATGTTATTAAAAAGAAAGATTTCCTTGAGTTCCATGTGGAAGCTTTCCATGCTTAAGTCAGAAAGTCTGGTGAACAATGCAATGGTATCAGTAAGATTTTCAAAAAATTGTGTTCAAGAGAAAAGGAAATGCAGATCTTGATTTTAGAGAACATGCGGAAAGAGGAGAGAGAATAGTGTGGGAACTCAAGTGAGTGGTGGAGTGAGAATTATGTTCAAGTCTGCAGAAATGAGCAGTGAAGTCAAGAATTACAACCAAGGGCTGAAGCATTTTCTGGAGAAATGCTGTGGACAGACAGCCCGGAAGAGGCTGGTGGTGTTTTTCCGCAGGCAGCAGTGTCATGTGCAGCCTGCCGACAAGTGGCCTTGGGGCTGCTGCGCTTGCACCAGAACAAGAGGCTTCCTGAGGGCGGGGAGAGAAGAGTGGGTTCTGTGGCAGTATGCGTCTGATAGAACTGTATCTGTGCTCCATTCTTCCTGCCCTGTCCATTCTGTTTTCATACATCAGGATCTAGAGACGATGGTTTAGGCTGAGGGTTGGCAATACCAAGGCTCAAAAGCAGAACCTGCTCGGGTGTTTCACATAGAGGGCATATAACTGGTCAGAGGGCATTAGAAGGGCCGGAACGCAAAGAGTGGGGTTATCTGCAGATTAGTAACCCCAGGAAGCTCTTCCTGGGGGCCTTCAGCTAAAGGAGCAAAAGTAAAACAGTGTTAGCCAGGGTCCTTGATCATCACACAGCGAGGGTGCTGGGCAGCTTCTGTAACTGTAGCTGTTAGAGCATCATCATTGCTGAGAAGGGGTCACGAGCCTGTACTGCTGCTGGTCTGGGGGATCTCTGGAGCCTGAAGCTGCCGTTACCATCCAGTGCCTCTGAAACCAGGAGCCTTCCTCCTCCTGAAAAGTCATATGTCACTAAGAAGCAGAAAAAAGGAAACCTGGCTTTTCCTATGTGTGCTGGCCATTGGCAGAATCTCATCAGAAGTCAGTCAGCAATGAAGTCCAACAGTGCAGTTGACAAGCTCACAGCTCTGTCATTAAGAACAGAGGACAGAGGAAGGGTGGAAAGGATCTGAGAACAGACTTGGCCAGCTCAGCCTCAGAGAGCCGTGGAAGCCAGGCAGAGGAAGGCTGGGAACTAGTAGGGAGTGCACTCTGCTAGTGTGGGGTACAGAAAATGGGGTTTTCAGAAGTCTGGTCTCTAAGCATGGAGGGTTGGAGGAGAAGACTGGGTGGGAGATGAGCTCAAAATGAATCTGTTAGCTTCCAGACCAGAGGGCTAGAGGCTTGGACGAGGGCTGTGAAGGCGAGAAGTGGTGTTTAGGAGAGTGGAGGAAAAGCAAAGTCTGAAAGACCGGATTTCCTAACCCTAGCACCTGACGCTGGACATGTCCTAAAAGACAAAGTCAAAGCAGGTGAAGTGTGGAAGAAGCACGGGCTTATGGGACATTGGGAGCATGCTCATAAACAAGCCCTTGGGGAAGTGTCTGAATGAGAGAGGGAAGGTGTCAACAGGAGGCTGAGGAGGACAGAGTCTAGCAAGATTTGGATTCATTTATCCTTTCATACCTCATGATGTGACAGTCTGTTAAAGTATTTGTTATGTATAATGATCTGCAAGGTCACTCACTGACAGAAAGTCAGACCCCAGGACCCAACCATTTTTACTCCTTAACTTGAGTCTCCTTGGGTTCTCCTTCCTGGCCTGTTTGCTTGGTGCTCACAGTGGAAGGGGTCTTCTCTCTCCCAGAGCCTGCTCTCTCCCTTCCCTGTGTCTGCACAAGGTCAGATCAGCTGCCTCAGCATTTTGTAGATAAAGTTTTACCTGGCCCTTTACAAGAACAGGTTTTCTGACCCCCTGGCCTAGCATATTGAGCTGAGCTACTTCGGTTGCTTTTCTTCTTTCACCATCCCTTTAACAGCTCATTTTCCTGAAGTCCGTTGGTGGCCTCTGTTTTTCCCCATCTTTTTTTTTTTGAGCTCACACATACTGCATGCTTCCTCTGGGACAGGCACGTGTTAGACTCTGGGGAGCAGAGCAAACAAACCTGAACCTGGCCTCAAAGGAGCACACAGTTTAGTAGGGGACAAAGACACACACAACTGCCATGCATATTTTTAGTGTGAAAGAGAGTGCTGGGAAGGGGGCATCCTGCTCTCTGGGGAGGCGCTCGGCAGTGCGGGACCAGGGAGTCAGGCCCGTGTGGGAGGCTAAAGCCCAGGCTTACCAAGGAGCCTGCCTCTCCCTCACAGGCATCTTCAGGTTCCCGAAGCATCAGGGCAGGTGACTCTAGGGCAGTAAGGATGTTGGGTAACCTCAGAGAGCAGGTACCCTTGGGACCACTGGCGAGGCTACTGGAGGAAAAGGACAGTGCACCCGCCACAGCAGAACGAGTCAAAGGCGAGTGTGCTCCTGGGGCTACAGGGCGCAGCTGCTGGCCTGATGGCTCGTGACGGAGGCCACGGCGACTGCCAGTGTCCACCCGCGTTCTGAGAGTCCAGGACTGGGGCTTCTTACCAGGGACAGGGGTGGCAAAGACGGTCACTCTGTGTTTAGTTCACTTTCTCCACGGGAGCAAAAGGCACAGTACGTTATAGCAGGACTTTTTTTCCCAGCTTTTTGTTACTGAATTACAATTGACATACTGTATTAGCTTCAGGTGTACAGCATAATGATTTGATTTTTATACATCACAAAATGATCACCTCAGTAGACCTAATTACTTCCAATGGTTTTTAAATTACTATTTTCAACTATTCTGAAAAGTTGAGTTTTACACTTACAAACCCACATTCCCACCACCTAGATTCTGTGACTAACATTTTGCTATCCATCTTTCTCACATATCTGTCCATCTGTTCTTCCATCTACCTGTCAGTCTATCTTATTTCTTTCTTACACATTTCAAAGGAGGTTGCCAGCATCTAGATTGGCTTATAATTTAGTCATCTAGAATATAAAAGTGAATCCAGAGCAAGGTGGGGCTGGGGGCATTCATTAAATTCTGGGCCAAGTTCTTTCACAAACATTTTATTTTGATGCTCACAGCAACATTGTCTGAAGTCAGCACACAGCCCATGTTTATGATTGAGGAAACTGAAGATTGCACATGTTTAAGCGTTTTGCTGAAGATTATACGCTGTTGGCAAAGTTAGGTAGCTCTGGGTCTTTGGACCCAGAATCCATTTTCTTGTAAATTCTGTACACTGCCTTGGAGTAGTTCTGTGCCCTGGAAAAGGTTGAGGAACTCATTCACAATACTATGGCACAATGTTACTGAGTTCCCAGCCTGCAACAGTGAGATTAGAAGATACAAACTGGAGACTCAGGGAGGTACAGGTGCCAGAGCATACAGGGAGGTTAAAGAAAGGTGATGTTGACTGCCCAACTACATAAGAAAGAACTGGAAAACATGCCCACACAGGACCTCAGAGCATAGCTATGGGGCCCCTTTGCGGGAGGGGATGGCAAAGACTACTCCAGAGGAAGCTATCCCCTGCTTGCCTCGGCACAGGCTTTACTGATGCCCTGAGTGGTCTGAAAGGATCAGGGGTATTCATTATATTTTGTTTAAGTGGGTCAGTTTTAGATATGTGTCCACTGAAAAGTTAAAAATGTGTCCGTGGTTAGCTTTGTAACAAGCCTCCTGTTGCGTGGTTAACTTTGTGACAAGCCTCCTGTTGCGAGAGGCTGGTGAAGGTAGGTGGCCTGACTTCCTTCCTCCTCTGCCTGTTGGTGCATTTTCTCAGACTGATTAATTTCTCCCAGCCAGTAGATTTGGCTGCAATTCAGAACAGCGTACCTCTAGAGGGAGGTCATTTCCCATTTCTGAGTCCATCTCCTTGTCACAGAGTTGGGTTATAACAACCATCCTTCCTGCCCTGACTCTTGAGTGGTAGATGAACTCCATCTTGCCTGAAAGTGCATTGTGAAATACCAAAGTGACATTCTGCTAGATCATACTAGCAAACATTTCACAACAATAAGGGTCTCCCCAAAGAGAAGATCTATTTTGTTTGCATTTTGACACACTTAGTTAACCTCCCAGCCATCTCAAGCAGGTTTCCTCATCAGAACCAAGAACACAACCTGATTGGAGTGGTAATGTTTCACTTCTCCCTAGGATGATACAAAACTAATAGAGACCTGGGGTTGAACTTAATTCATTACATATAGATGCCTTAGGCAGTGGTCCTCAAAAGTGTGGTCCATCTGTGCCTTACCCTCCAACAGTCTGTGTTTTAACAAGCTCTGCAGAGGATTCTGATGTTCACCCTTGAGAACTATTAGCCTATAAAGGGTTAGAGTAGATTTGATTTGTAATATAATCTTTTCAAGTAAAATAGAGATATTACAATAACGAAGGGGGGACGTGTGTGCTTCTTGTACTTTGATGGTGTGACACTCCTAGTAGATCTCCTGCAGGTGGCCCATATTGCAGACATCTGGAGAGCCAGGTGGGCCCTGTCAAGTATAGTAAATGAGTGAAGGCTGTCCTCAGGGTGCCACCTGCTGTCTCTCAGGGTGCTATCCTGCAGGCCTGGTTGGGCAATAGCTGTCAGATCACCTCAGACCTAGGCGATCAGAACCATCTTCTGCTCGTGGGAACCATGCCATGGCTCCCTGCCTCACCAGAATCCAGGCCCGCCAACCTCACACTTCCAGCCAGTACTTCATTTTGCTTGTCCTTCTTTGTTGCAGTCGCAGGAAACTTGAGTGTTACAACAACACACTTGGCACTGTGTGGTTGATTTCTGTCTTAACTGGACATCCAGAGAGAGATTTGGTAAGAATAGGAGGCAGCAGGAGTGCCTGGCTGGCTCACTCAGTGGAGCGTGACTCTTGATCTTAGGGTTGTGAGTTTGAGCCCCACGTTGAGTGTAGAGATTACTTTTAAAAAAGGTGAGGGGTTGGTGCGCCTGGGTGGCTCAGTTGTTAAGCGTCTGCCTTCGGCTCAGGTCACGATCCCAGCGTCCTGGGATCGAGCCCCGCATCGGGCTCCCTGCTCAGCGGGAAGCCTGCTTCTCTCTCCCCAGTCCCCCTGCTTATGTTCGCTCTCTCTCTGTGTCTCTCTCTGTCAAATAAATAAATAAAATCTTTTTTTTTTAAGATTTTTTATTTTTTATTTATTTGAGAGAGAGAGAGAGAGCATGAGGGGGGGAGGGTCAGAGGGAGAAGCAGACTCCTTGCTGAGCAGGGAGCCCGATATGGAACTCGATCCCAGGACTCCAGGATCATGACCTGAGCCGAAGGCAGTCGCTTAACTGACTGAGCCACCCAGGCACCCTAAATAAATAAAATCTTAAAAAAAAAAAAAAAAAAAGAATAGGAGATCGCAGACAAATGTCTTGCATAAATGTGTGTGCTTTTTTTTTAGGATGGGGAGGGGAGAGGGAGAAGGAAAGAATCTTAAGCAGGCTCCATGCCCATTGTGGAGCCGATATGGGGCTTGATCTCACAACCCTGAGATCATGACTTGAGCCAAAATCAAGAGTTGGACACTTAACCAATTGAGCTACACAGACTCCCCAGATGTGTGGGGTTTTTTTCTCCCAAGATTTTATTTATTTGAGAGAGAGCACAAGCGAGAGATTACAGGCAGAGGGTGGGGCTGAGGGAGAGGGAGAAGCAGGCTCTCCGCAGAGCAGGGAGCCCGACATGGGGCTCAATCCCAGGATCCCGAGATCATGACCTGAGCCTGACCGACTGAGCCACCCAGGCACCCCCCAAATGTTTGTTCTTTTTTCTTTCTTTCTTTTTTTTTTAAGATTTTATTCATTTGACACAGACACAGTGAGAGAGGGAACACAAGCAGGGGGAGTGGGGAGAGAGAAGTAGGCTTCCCACTGAGAAGGGAGCCCGATGCGGGGCTCGATCCCAGGACCCTGGGATCATGACCTGAGCCGAAGGCAGATGCTTAACGACTGAGCCACTCAGGTGCCCCTCAAATGTGTGTTCTTTACAAAGACCTTCAGATTCTGGTTTTGACCATTAGAGTGGCGAGTACTGTAGTTAATAAAAAGCGTCTTAGGAACACTGAAGCTTGCCGAGCTGCGAGTATGCGTACACGCATGTGTTCCCGCCCCAGTGGTTCCAGGGGAAATGACTTTTTTGCAGGAGTGTTTTTTCCTTTGCTTCCCCCGCCCCTTCCAGTTTCATAATGTTGGTCCATTCTTTTCATTTCTCCGTTTTCCTAATGTTGCTGCTAATGTTGTTTTAATGTGGGTCATTCTTAACTCATAGGCTTGTTTGTTTGTTTTTCAATAGGACAAGGGCTCAGAGGACTGGACGTGCTCAGACATCGGTGTTGTTCTTCCCAGTTCTTGACCCCGGTCCTGTCTCCAGCCCGTCTCGGCTTATCCACCTTGACTCCTTTGAGCCGTTTGGAGGGGCGGTTTCTGGTAGTTGTGGCTTTTATGCTTTCAAAGAATTCCTTCAGTCCAGAGAACTGTTCCTGGCATCCCTGTGTGTGTCACCCACTGGTGACCTGTGGCAGTATGTACTTTCAGTGCACCTACTGCTTACCGTTGCTTTAGTCACTAATCGCTTTCTGGTTTGAAAGATGCAGTGGTTCCTCCCTCTCCTGAGTCCTTCCTCCGTGCTGCCCTGCTGACCCTTGCAGTCACACCAGAGATAGTTCTTTCCAGAATGGCTCTTGTCACTGGCATCTTACTTTATGAGAGGGAAGGCTACTACCTAGGGCACTTTAAGTCAGTGACAGCCCCTTATTTGCACTTCAGCTTTTCACCATCAGCATTTCCCCAGAGCAGGAGCGTGTGGAAACACCTGGGATGTTGTTGCAGCCTGCAGCGAGTGCTCCCGTCTCGGGAACCTTTGGGGGCACTTGCCCATGTCTTTTCTCATATCATGTTAGTCACTAGCATATTTAAGGTTTGTGCTGTTTGCCCAGCTTTTAGAAAACTCAGTCATTTTTCCTAATAAAGAACGAAGTACTGCACCCAGCAGCTTCACTCTGTAGATTTACTGTGGTTTCTTATACCATTTGTAGACGTATAACACTTGCCCAGATGTGTTATCTGCAGTACTAACTGTTTGCCAGGCTTACACAGAAAGATTTAAAGTGGCAGCTGCATTCGGGATTTAGTGAGAGATGGACACAGGTCGCAGCAGGGCGCTCAGGCAAGTGCGTGAAGAAGCAGCCAACAGGCCAGCCGGACGTCTCGGGGCCGAGCTGCACACGCGGGTGTACGCATACCCCCGAGCGCTTCACATGGCCTGCCATGTTCTGTGTAGCCACATTCAATGCCTCAGGATTTAGCAGAGAGGAGCCCTGCGTCTTTAAATGAGAAAGTGTACAATTCTTTTTCCTCCTACAGCATGTCAGCATCTCAAGTTCATTTTTCAACCTAAACGATATAACAATTTGTAATAAAGCCTTCATGAGCTCATGACGTGAAGCGCTGTTCTGTCGTCAGTGCTCTCAAGTGTTTCTGATACTGCTGAGCTAAGACCATGAGAAAAAGCTAGCACTAAATCATGTTTGGAGCTCTATCCCATATTATCCTGACCTCTTTAAGTATTTGTTCCTGCCACTGTACACTGTGGCGTTGACTTGGTGTTCTGTCCCAGTGCGGTGCCTCCTCTTGACTCCCCCACTGCTCTCTGTGGTGAGAAATCTGCCTTGTTCAATAATTACTGTACCCTCGCATGACTGTTACAGCTTTCTGTGCAGAGATGACTGTCCAAGTGCCACATGCCTATGATTGAAACGAAAAATTTATTGTTACCTCTGAGTTTGTGTTCCACGGAAATGCTCTCCAGCAGATCACTTAGGAAAACTAATTCTATTTTTAGCTTTTCATTTCTCAGCTATCCTTTTTTCTTGTTTGATTTTTGACAGCAGTGGAGAATGGGTTATATAAAGACTGCCTGCTAATATGAACAGAAATGCACTTGTAATTCATGAAAATAAATGTACATCTTCGATCTTCATATTCATGTTAAGATTGTCGATTTCCTCTGGATCAGCGTGTCCAAATGGACAGTCAGCTTCAGTCTATGCTTGGAGCAGAAATGCTTGCGGGCTCCCCCCCGCCCCCCACCCCCGGGGAACTGCCCCAACACTGGTTTACATAAGATGATTTAGAAGGCATCTCTGTAGGGTCCTAGTTTCCCTTTGCACAGCAGAGAATCAACTCTGACATGTACCTTTACTCAAATCATAGGTCTAGAATACTATGTCAAACTCTGATGAAGACTCCCAAACGTCTCAGGTTGGATTCTCTGGTTCTTTCTAAAGAAGACCTGCCTGTATGCCCCAGAAATGCTGCTGGGCATGGCTGGTGCTGGGAAGGACTGCCCAGTGTCACTTGGCCCCACACCAACCGGCCCAGGGTGCTGATGCTCACACCTCACAGGTTAACAGAGGACGGCTGAGTCAGCCTCAGAGATTGGAACCACATCTAGATTCTTGCCCTAAAATCCGTGATTTTCATCTGCGTGCTCAGAGCTGCCGTGTAAAGGTCTGCACAGCTTTGATAGGATAGAGGTTTGACTGTTAACTTGATACATTGGTGAGTCAGTTTTCATTTTCAAAGAAGCATTGACAGTTTTCTTACTCTTGTTTCTTTGTCCTTTTTAAATGGAATGTTAGTATTATGAGGTTAATCTGCAGTCCTCAAAATAGAAAGCCATGGCCTTGGTTACTAATACCTGAGGACGGTAGGCTGTCCCATCCCCCCCGCTGGTACTGTGGAGTGAGATTGGCATGAAACCACTAACTGTGTTCTAGAATCACTGTAGCCCTAAGTTGTGTGCTTTTTATTAATCATGCCAAACTTGGTTCAACAGGTCAGAGAATTATAATCAAGGTACCTGGGAAAAGTACTAGCTATTATGTGTGATAGGCTTGTCATTTGGATCTTCTTACATCTCTAAAAATGTACCGCTTAGGTCATCCAGATTACTTACTGGTGATACTGAATGCATCCATTCTTAGTATGCTCAGATAAGCTTTCAGACTAATGGCTTTTTTGGTGTCTAAAAAGTAAGCAAAAAAATTCCTGTTGAAACATTCCAATCTTTTTGTTTAGTATGAGACAAAATACCTAACCAAGCCAGGGGAATGGATTTGAGAGAACCCATGACGGCTCTGTGCTGACACAAGTCTTCAAAGCTGGTGGAGACACGCAGGCCATGTTGATGCATGGGTAGAAGAGTATCGTTGTGTTTGTGTGCAGTACACAGTGCGTCGTGTGTTCAGTCCGTCCTGCTGCAGGCGCAGGTGAGGGGTGTGCAGGGTCCTGTTGGCTTTTGGAGCCCACGTGCGGCTCATCACTGGTTGCATCTCGGTAGGGAGTCACACCCGTGTGCTGCCCACGCCACATGCCACCTACTGTTCAGACCATTCAGAGGAGACTGTTGTACCTTTATCTGCGTATGTGTTAATACGGTTTTTAAATTGGTAACTTTTATATAGTACGGTAACAGTATGTTAATACACACATATGCACACATGCTTTGGGTCCTTCCATAACACTTTTATATTTGTAAATCAATGTTTTGGAGCAATCCCACGTTTAAGGGAAATATTTTTGTAAATGTAGTGGTTTTGAAAATCTGAGCAATTCTTTTGCTTAAACATTTTTAAAGCATTTGTGCTTTAAAATTGTCATGCTGGTGTTTGAAACATGATACTCCTATATTGCAGATGAGAAGCATGTAACAGTAGATATGTGGTCTCTCTCACTGTAATCCAGTTTGGCATCATGGATCGGAAATGACTGGGAATCCAGAGGGAATTCTCTGGGGTTGCACCAGGTTTACCTAAAGCTCGTTGCCTTTTTTGTGCTGTTCATCCGTGTAGAGCACTCGAGAAAGTTCTGAAACTGCTTTGTATCTGCTTTGTACTGTTGGTGCCTTCTTGGTATTGTACCCCAAAACTCTGCATAGATTATTTAGTATAATGGTAAGTTAAAAAAAATGTTAAAGGAAGATTTTATTAAGAATCTGAATGTTTATTCATTATATTGTTACAATTTAACATTTATTTGTGGTATTTGTGATTTGGTTAATCTGTATAAAAAATTGTAAGTAGAAAGGTTTATATTTCATCTTAATTCTTTTGATGTTGTAAACGTACTTTTTAAAAGATGGATTATTTGAATGTTTATGGCACCTGACTTGTAAAAAAAAAACTACAAAAAAAAATTAGAATCATTAAATTGTGTCCCTGTGTTCCAAAATAACATAGTACTGCGCATGTATAGCTTAATTGGAATTTCACATGTGAACATAGGAAGTCGCCTAGTCCTTTATTACAGTGTTTCCCAAATAAGTGTGTTTGTAATTTGACTTTGCTTACAGTAATCAGGTATAGAACCAGAAGCTGGTGCTCTGAAGGCCAGTGGGATTTTAGTGCTCCATCAGGTTTTCCAGATTGTTCTTCAGATGCTTGGCTATAGAGGGGGGAAGAAGGCAGTGCTGGGAGTCCTGACACAGTGCCCATGTGCGTCTCTTCTCCATCTTCCTAAACTTCAGCAACTGCTGCCAGGGCAGGTGTCCTTGGCAGCCTCTTTTTTTCAGACCAAGATGTCACGAATGTATTAGGGACTCTTGGACACTTGGTTCTTCTCAGTATTGGGCATCATGCAGTGACTTACAGGACAAAAATATTGGAAAATGTTCTGCTTTGGTGGTATAGAGAGAGCACAGGCTTTTGGGCCCATAAATCTGGGTTCAAAACCTGCCCTCTGCTGATAACACAGCTGGCTTTGGGCCAGTCGTCGTGTTGTTCACTCAGACCTTCGGCTGGAAAGTGGAACCGTGCATGTCATAAAGATTGTGCAAATACATTTTAAGTTTCTAGCCCAGTACCTCAAAACAAAGAGTAAATAGCAGATCTTCCTAAATGCTTTATTTATTTATTTGTTTTTACTTGTTTGTTGTAAGGTGGTGCTGAGACATCTGCTGACTGAACTGTACCCGCTTTCTATTAATCTGAGCGGGGAGGACCTGTCTGTAACTTTCTTCAGGGAAATGCTGATCTCGCCTAAATTGCTGGGTAACGCTCATGGGATTATCACATGCACTTTCCCTTTAAGAGATCAGCACTCTTTGTTGTTGTCCAAATCCTGTAGAAATCAGTTATAACAATCATCTTCCTTACCCAGCACAAGGAATTAGTAATCCTGTTTTTCCCACGTTAATAATGATGAGCTCCTTGCCTTGGCAGTAGAGCCTCAGACCTTGGTTGGTTCTCTGTATTTAATCAGAACCTGAGCGTTCAGAGCCGACCAGTGGCCACAGAGCACCTCTCTGGGAGGAGCAGAAGCCAAGCCCAGGTCACGGGGGTACGGAGCAGGTGGAGGCAGGTGCAGGCCCCCCGGAAGCCCCAAGTGTGGAGGAAGGACAGGGATTGGGTGTGTCCACAGGGGAGCAGTGAAGGGAAGGTTTTCGTGGGTGATGGGCTGAACCACACTTGAGTCTGAGGAGGGAGACCCAGAGAGGGGACAGGGTTGCTGGGTTTCATAGGCCCGAGGGCCAGGGAAGGGGTGGGTCAAGGTGGACGTGGCACAAGGGGCTCTTTCTCTGAGGCTGGCACCAAGGAAAGCTGAAGACGAGGGTCCTTTGAAGAACAGGTAGAGAGGAGGAAATGGAATGAAGTTGTGCCCTAGGACAGGTGTTTTTTAGGTGGAGTGGGAGTGCGAAACAGGGTCTCTGTTGAGAACAAGGAAGAGCCAGCAAGAGAAGGAAGTAAGAGGAATGCCTGTCACTGGGAGGCCTGACAGGTGACGCCCGTACGTCTGTCGTGAAGTACTGCTCTGTGGGGCTTGGATGTTCTTGCCGCACAGTGGTGTCATGAGCTGCGGTGCCAGGGTTGGGCAAGACAGAGGCCCGAGGAGGCTGAGGGGAGACTGAGGTGATGGAGCGCGAGTCCCCTCACCTGCTGGGTGTAGAGATGCTTTTCCCTTTTAGTTTCTTGGTCAGAGGAGCAGGGAAGCCGTCGCCCCATTTTCAGTAAGACCAAAAGGTAACAAAGCCTCTTGTCAGCTGTGGAAATGGTGGGAGGGCACATCTGTGGGGGGAGGAGGGGCGAGGGGATGGGCAGTGACCTGGAGCACGTGGGACACCAGGGCCAAAGCTTCCAGGCCCAGGCACTGGTGGGAGGTCTGCTGCAGACTGGCGGTGTGGGCACATGAGCTGGCCGTCCACTCGCAGCGGGTCACCAAGCCTACAGAAACCACCTTGGAGAGTCCAGGACCAGTGGTCCTCTTACCACTCCCAGAAATCCGGGTCCCCTTTTCTTCCCCTTCTAAACCCTAGAGCGTGCCCATCCTTCCTTCCCAGAGTTGACTTCCGCACTGAAGTATTCTGTTCTTGGGGAGCCAGCGGACTCTGGAGGCTAGAGGTGTGGGCTTTCTGTGATTGAGCCGACGGCCCAGGAGGGAGGACCGCACTAGTGCAAGGCACAGGATGGGGATGCACACATCCCACACAACAGTGACTTTCAAATATTTTAATCACCAGAGCCGTTTGTGAAATCCAGGAAATCTGCCCGCTGTGAATAAGCAAGGGTGGGGCAGCCCAGCGCGTCTCCCTCCCGGGGATAGCCTCGTGCTTCTACCCGAGAGGAGTCCGAGATCGGTCAGAGGCCCTGGAGAGCAGAGCAAGGCCACAAAAGGGCGGCATTGAAAAGGTGGAACGGGCCCCAGGTGACCGTTAGCCCTTCCCCAGTGGGCCAGCGGCTCGGGGGTCCTCAGCGGGAGGGCCCCGCGAGTGGGTATGGGAAGGTCACCCTGTTTTGAAAGTGCAGGAAGATGAAGATCGTATGGATGAGGTTGGGTGTGGCCGCAGAGAAGAAAGATGAGCTTGTAAGGCAGCGGGGAACAAAGCCAGGGCTGACGCTGGCCTCAGGCGCGCGCCCCATGAGGATTGCGGAGAACAAAGCCGGCAGAGCTGCCTCGTGGTGCCCATCCCGTGGCAGGGAAGAC